CCAAGAGCGTGCTCACATCCCGCTCTTACAAGCTCGCGGTAGCCGATGTGGCGGCCCTCAAGCGTGCACGTACCGGCTTCGCCCGCGGAGGCCGCCTTCCCCCTCGAGACGGTGAATCGGAAAGCAAAGGCATGCCACCCGCGGGCTGCCACGAGCCCCGCTTCAAGGGGGTGTGTTTCCGTTGCGGCCAGCCCGGCCATATGGCAAATAATTGCCCTATGGGAGGGCGTGGCGCACAAGGTCCCGCACCCGTGGTGTGAGAGGACCCATGGGGCGGCGCCCCTTGCCACTATGCCGGGGGGCGTAGGTGGATGCACCGGTGGTGCGTAGGCTGGTTAGGAGCCTTGGGGAGTACGATAGGACATGGGGGCCAGGGCAAGATGGCAGCCGTAGGGGCTGGTTATGGTGTAGGCTTGGCTTGTATGCCTTTGCGTGGATTAATAAAAGATTGTTGTTATTGAAAAAAGAAAAGAAAAAAATACGAACAATGGAGAGAGAGAAAGGGAGTCAACACAAAACGAGAAGACAAATGGCACAACAAATAAAACATCAGCCCCCTCTTGAGGAAGGCAGCCACGGAGGAGGAATTGGCCAGGAGTGCAAGACAAAGCAAGGACCAAGAGAAGAACAAAGAAGAGGGAGAGAGAGAGAGAGAGAGAGAGAGAGAGAGAGAGTGAGGGAGAGAGAGAGAGAGCGAGGGAGAGGGAGGGAGAGCGAGATAGAGAGTAAGAGAGAGCGAGAGAGAGAGAGAGAGAGAGAGAAAGAGAGAGAACGAGGGAAGGCAAGAGAGATAGAGAGAGAGCGAGAGAGAGTGAGAGAGAGAGAGAGAGCAAGAGAGAGAGAGAGGGAGACACAGAGAGAGAGAGAGGGAGAAAGAGAGAGAGAGAGAGAGAGAGAGAGAGAGAGAGAGAGAGCGAGAGAGAGGGAGAGAGAGTGAGAGAGAGACAGAGAGAGCGAGGGAGAGGGAGGGAGAGCGAGATAGAGAGAGAGAGAGAGCGAGAGAGAGAGAGAGAGAGAGAAAGAGAGAGAACGCGGGAGGGCGAGAGAGATAGAGAGAGAGCTAGAGAGAGAGAGAGAGAGAGAGAGCGAGAGAGAGAGAGAGGGAGACACAGAGAGAGAGAGAGGGAGAGAGAGAGAGAGAGAGAGAGAGAGAGAGAGAGAGAGGAACTCTCACGACGACATCGTGATGAGCAAGGTCGTGGGACCAAGTGACGCAAATGCGCCGATCTCGTTGTAAGGCAATGTAAAAAAAAAAAAAAAAACCTTGCAAGGGTAATAAAGCGGATGCGTGCGCAAGCAAAGTAAAAAAAAAAAAAAAAAAAAAAAAAAAAACCCGGGAGTGCGGGGAGGCACGACGGCGGTAGAAGACAAGCGACATAGTTTGCCCGACGAAGCGTCCAGTATTATCTCGCGTCTAATCGACCTTGGCCCTGCCCCCCCCCCCCCCCCCCCCCCACACACAACCTCGGTTGGCCATTAATTGCAGAAGTGGAAGGCGAGTGGCGGAGTGCTCATTGGGACCCATACGAACACGCAATAACGGACAACATGGTGTCCATCATGCGAATGCGATTGCGCAACAGCCTCCATTGGTGGCTATCATGGTGCTACAACAGTCTTATCCTTTCCATCATTGCCAAAGGGTACTGGCTACCATGGAAGGGCGCAGAGCCTCTCCCCTTCGAAGCGCCCAATCACGTAGGCGTTCAAGCACACATGGCATTCACCCAAGACACGGTTAGCGACCTCATCGCGTCAGGCGCCGCGATTCATGTCTCGTCAAAAGCCGCACTGACGTGCATCAGCCCGCTCAATGTTGTGGAGCAACGAGACAAATGTCTGCTCATCCTTGACCTGCGGAAGGTCAACGCTCACCTCCAAGTTCCCAAGTTCAATTACGAAGGCTTGAGCCGGGTCGCGGAAATCATTCGCCCACACGACTGGATGTTCACAATCGATCTCAAGTCAGGCTACCACCACGTCGAAATCCACCCATCATGCTGGAGGTTTTTGGGCTTTCAATTGGGCGGAAAATTCTATTGCTTCACATCCTTACCTTTCGGCCTGGCAACAGCCCCGTTCATCTTCACCCAGCTTATTAAGCAACTAGCCAAGAGATGGCGCGCGCGCGGAGTGCGCGTAATACCATACGTGGACGATCTACTATTCCTCTGCAACTCCGAGGCGCAAGCCCGTTCGACGTGCGTCGAAGTTCTCCACGACTTGACGGCGGCAGGATTCGTGATAAATTCCAAGAAATCACACCTGCATCCCGCACACCACTTGCGCTTTTTGGGGATGGAGCTTGACACGGAACAAGGGATGTTCCTAGTCGAAAAGGATCGGCGTGAACAACTACTGCAGGAGCTCCACCTACTTATACAAAAAGGGCAATCGGGTCGTCAAGTGCCAATTCGCAAGATAGCCCGGATCACTGGATTTCTCAGCTCCATGTCGCTCGCACTGGGCACGACGGCGCGGGCCTTCAGCCATGAGCTGCTCCACTTGATCGACTCCACATGGTCATGGAACTCAAAGGTTTTACTGTCACCAGGAGCGACCGAGGAGCTGCTGTTTTGGACAATGCACTTTGATCGTTTCAATGGCGCCCCATTCCACCAGAGTCAGCGTTTTATTGCAGTGATACACGTCGACGCGAGCGCGCACAGCTAGGGTGCCACCTTGGCCAAGTTCCCAAGTACATCATGCGAGGCAAGCGAGTGCATGCCACAAGGGCTTCTCCCCACATCTAGCACGCGGCGAGAGCTCGAGGGAGTGCTCTGGGCACTGCGGACGTTCGCAACCCAAATCGTGGGTGCTCACGTCCTCGTCCGGGTGGACAACCAGGCAGTCATGTTTATCTTGCGCAAGGGGGGATCCCGTCAAGCGGATCTTACGTCAAGATGCCAAGCGATCATCCAGTTCTGCCTCGGCAACACAACACGCCTCGCGATCGAATGGATTCCGAGGGAGCTCAACGCCCATGCGGATGACCTATCCAAGATGCAAGATTTTGACGACTACTCCCTACATGCACCTTGGTTTCGCCTCTTGGAACGACGCTGGGGGCCTCACACAATTGATCTCTTTGCTAACGTTCGGAAAAATCACGTTCACCGCTTCTGCTCCAAGATACCGCACCCCGACGCATTCGCCGTCGACGCATTTTCCATCTTGTGGAAAGGCGAGCGATGCTTTGCCTTCCCGCCTCCACACTTAATTCCCGCTACACTCCGCCACGCGGAACTGACGCAGAAGGAACTCACGCTCGTCGTTGCCCAGTGGACCGGAGCGTCATGGTGGCCGCTTCTTCTACCATCCACTCAATCGTGGGCTCCAGCAGTAGTCGAGCACCTTTCCCTTGCCCAAGGCAGTCAATGCCTTCGGGCAGGTTCACACACAGCTGTATTCTCTGGTCTCGGATTGCCTCATAGCCCAATCATTGCTTTGCGTGTAAACTATGCAGTCTAATAACAATTTCTCAATGTGTCATTTCAGGACTTTTGGCCAAACTAAAGCAACAATTGCTGCACGTAATTAGCCACGTTCGCGCACCATCTACAATCGAGACGTACCAACCTTATTGGCAGAGATTTCGCACCTTCTGTACCCAAGTTAAGCTCGAGTTCCTCCCGGCAACTGACCTGACGCTAGCGCTGTATCTCATCCATGCACTCAACAACAAAGCAACTCTCTCCGCGATCAACCTCACGTGTTCGGCAGTAGCCTTCGCCCACCGCATGACAGGCGAAACCTCCCCTACCGCCGGCCCACTCACCCTGCAAGTGCGGGAGTTCGCCAAGAGACATGGTCCCCGCCCTACAAGAACCAAAGAGCCCATATCTCTCCATCAAGTGCACGACATGGCTCGTCCCTTCCTCGAATCATCAATTCCTGCGGAATACCAGAAAGGATTGATTCCTCTTCTCATATTTTCGGCATTCTTGCGCTACTCCAACCTCGTCTCGCTCCAATGGAATGACGTACAGTTCGAGGAGAAGGCAATGTGGCTGCTCATTCCGCACTCCAAGACCGACCAGGAGGGGAGGGGAGTCTGGATCCCCGTGGCAGCAATTCCAGGCCCATACTGCCCGGTGAGGTGCACGCGCGCATTCATACACATCGCAGGCCTCGCAAAGGTGCCCCATGGACCGGTGATAAGGGTTTTCCCAAAGAACTCACAAGCCACACCGAACGACAAGTCGCCATCCTACGTTACGATCAGAAACTGGTGCCTCGCAGCCGGCAGGCAAGCTGGACTGGATGTCGCGCACATCGGAACCCACTCATTCCGCAAAGGCGCAGCCACTGCAGCGGCGAGCCTCGGAGTTCCTGACCGGCTCTTCAAACGCATGGGCCGATGGCGCAGCGACAGCGCGAAGGAGATGTACGTTACAATCGCGCAGGATCAGCTCATCTCCCTCTCTACGCAATTGCAGGATCCTTCGACGGCTCCCTCGCCCGCTACGCATCAGCTATCCATCCAACGCCACCGGCAGCCCCGACTGCACTTGCCTCAGAAGACCCATATGAAATGATAACGCTGCCTTTGCCAGTCAGCCTAAGTACACTTTCACAATATGATAATTTTTGAAAGTGTAATGAAATGTAACACTTTCTAAAGTTTTGTATTGTGAAAAGGGGTACGTGGCCAACACAGCAAAGGTAGCGCCGAAGCGCTACTCACCCTCTTTTGCCTACAAAAGAGGGACGTGGGGACATTCGTCCCCACCCACGTTTTCATTTTCAAAATTGTAGTTCTAATTTCCCACCCGCCCACCCATTTGTGTATGCTGTTATGTAGACATATATAAGACGAGAACGATGTACTACAACCCATATGAAATGATAACGCTGCCTTTGCCAGTCAGCCTAAGTACACTTTCACAATCGAGAGATTTTGGGTTTAGGGATTTTTTCAGTGTGACCTTGATAAGAGGTTAGCTTGATAGGAGGATAGGAATACGCCATAATAAGGGTGATCTGGAGGGGCGGCAGTTTCAAGAGGAGCACAGACTGGGAGGTAATACTGTAGGTTGAGATATGGCATAAAGAGCGAGGTGGCTGGGATGGGACAGTTGAGTCTGTGACGGACAGAGCGTAGCATTACCTGTTGGTCCATCTGTCCATCCATCCTCCTGCATGCACCAGGCCACAGGCACAATGAGAGCACACCACACCAGCATATCAGATTCAGGTCGCAATTTTTGAAGCATCTCAAAATCTCTTTAAGAACCTGAACAGCTGAAGAAGAAACAAACAGACTTGAACAGCTGAAAAGGCAGAGGGTGAGAGGTGAGAGGAGGAGAGGGGCAGGTGGATGAGAGGGGCGAAAAGGATGAGAGGGGCGAAAGGATGAGAAGAGCGAGAATACAGTCCTGGGAACTTGCGAATGAGCCATTTGCAGAGCTCTCCAATGGCGAGGATGGTGAGGGCAAAGGGCACGCCGATGAACCAGTAGAGCACATTGAGGGGCCGCGTGTCAAACACCTCCTGCAGGAACGGCCAGTACAGGAGCGCTGCTGCCACCAGCGTCTCAAAGAACAGCGAGAAGGTCAGCACGTGGTTGCGCATGCCCTGGAGAGAGTCAGGCGTTGCAGAGAGTCAGGCGTTGGCAGAGGGCATACGTAGAAAGAGAACGGAAAGATCCATGTCTCTGGTGAAACACGCCGAGGAGCACCGCACCCGCATTGGCAGCACGGACCTGCTGGAAGAGCAAGAGGCGGCGGGTCTTGCACACGAGCAGGTTGGCCCAGTGGGTGACGATGACAGCGACAAAGTAGGCGGACTGGGCATAGCGCAACACCTCCACCTGGTACTGCGTGTTGGGCTGCAGCTGCTTCCGCCCCGCCCACCAGTACCACCCGTTGTACGGCCCCAGTGGCTTTCCCAGCTGGTGTCGCCCTGGGAACCCCACCTGAGAAGGGGGGGAGATGGGGAGTGGGACAAGATGGTTGGGTTAGGAGAGAACTCGAGGGGAGCACGGGTCACGAGGAGGGGAGGGATGAGTGTAGGGAAAAATAGGTAAGGGAATTGGAGAAACGCGGGCAAGCATGTGGAGGCTTGGGCAGAGTGACAGGGAAGCAGGACATAGCTACGCACACGAAAGCAGCAAAGTAGCGACGCAGCAACCACAGTTCCACACGCAGAGACTGAGTGTGCGCTGCGGCGCATGAGAAGCACTCACATTGGAGGAGAGCAACGGGCTGGAGCACTGCGACGGCAGCACACCCCCCAGAAAGGCAGAAGCCGATGTGTTGCAGGTGAGCGCGCAGAACTGCTGCCCCTTGAACCCCGCCGCGCCCATCTCACTGAACGGATCCACCACCACTGGCGTCACGTTGCTTTTGGGCATGGGGCAGCCCTGGTAGCAGTAGGGCTGTGCCGCGGGCGGCGAGGACGTGTCGGGCATGGCGAGGGAGTAGTTGGGCGGGCCGCAGCCATACCCGCAGTCGTAGGGCTTGTTGCCCCGGTCGAATGTGCAGATGATGGGGTTGCGCGCGAAGTCAAATCCAGTTCGCTGCAACATCTGTGGGAGAGAGGGAGCGGGGGAGGTAGGGAGGGGGGTGTTCGAGGAGCGGAGGTGATAGGGGAAGAGGTGAAAAGGTATGGGGGAGTGAGACTCGTACCAGGTAGCAGCCTCAAAGACGGGTGTCACATTGGGATTGAAACAAGTTACCAGTAACCCGTATACAATAACCAAGAACAGTAACAAGTGAGCAGTAAAAAAAAAAGTCATGCTGGATCATCATCGTCGTCAAGACTGAAAGACAACAAGGCAGGCAGCAAGGCAGCGAGGTTGCAAGCAAAGTGCACTGCATGACAGTACATTGGGGCGGAAGCCATAGTCGTTGAAGACAGCGAGGTAGGCAAGGAAGCCAGCGAGCGTCTGCACGGCGCCGATGAGCAGATACACATGGCTGATCAGCTGCCAGCTCACCAGCCGGTCCCGCCTGGGGTTGCGTGGCGGGCGGTCCATGATGTCCGACTCCTGGATAGGAAGGCCTGAGGGGAAGAGGTGGGCGGGCAGGGAATTTTTCAAAGTCCCCTCCCTTTCGATCCCTTCATCTCCTACATCTCCCCTCCCCTCCACTTGCCACCCCTCTTGTTATCCCTGTCCTCCCGCTTCTCCCCAGCAGAAGCTCACCTTCTCCTCGTAAGCCAGGGAGATAGCAGGCAGCATGTCGGTGCCGAGGCAGATGGCGAGCATGAGCACGGTGGAGAGCGCGAGGGGCACGCCGAGCAGCACGTTGACGAGGTAGGGGATGAGCTGCGGCACGTTGACGGTGAGCGCGTAGCAGATGGTCTTCTTGAGGTTGTTAAAGATGAGCCGCCCCTCCTCCACGCCGCTCACTATGCACGCAAAGTTGTCGTCCATTAGGATCATGTCCGCCGCTTCCTTGGACACGTCCTTGCTGGGCGGGGGGTGCAGTGCGGGGAGGGAGGGAGGGAGGGGGAGAGAGGGAATAGGGCAGAGGAGAAAGAGGTAAAGCTGTCGTCCACGAGGATCATGTCCGCCGCTTCCTTGGACACGTCCTTGCTGGATGGGGGAGATGAACGGTGGGGGAGTTTCAAGAAGATGAGTGGGGGGGCGTTTGTGGTTGGGCCAATGGGGGAGTCAAGTCAAGTGCATTGATCACGCACACATGGATAGCCAGGTGACTTTTGAGTCGACTCAAAAGTCACTATCTCCCCCCGCCGCTGGCAGTGCTCCACCAGCAGCAGCTTGTGTGACGGGGACACCCGCGCAAAGATTACCTGGTGCGAGGGGGGGGGGGGTGGGGGGAGAGGGGGGAGGAAAGGGAGCAAGGGGGGAAGGGGGGAGAAACGGGAAAAGGGGGGAAAGGGGGGGAAAAGGGGGAAAGGGGGGAAAGGGGGGAAATGGGGGGAAAGGGGGAAAGAAGGAGGTAAAGGGGGGAAAGGGGGGGAAAGGGGGGAAAAGGGGAGAAAAGGGGGAAAGCGGGGGGGAGGAGGGGGAATGGGAGAGCAGCGCGGAGTGAGGTCAGGGAGGAGAGCAAGGAAGGTGGAGAAAAGCGTGAAAAGACATGCTGGTTGCAGTGATTGGGGAGCAAGATAGTGGAGTGCAATGAGAGTGGGTGCTTGCAGGTAGCGCAGTGAATGCGTTAAGGAAAGGGAGGGCGTGGCGGAAGAGAAGGGGGAAAGAGAATCTCCTCTCTGGGGTTGAGGATCACACCTGGTCGTGCGAGAGGGCCTCGTCCCATTTGAAAATCTCCTCCCTGGGGGTGAGTGCACTCCACACCCTGATGTCATCGCCCGTCACCACCGCCGCACTGCCCGCCTCCACCTTGCTGCTCTCCAATATGCCCACCTGCCCGTGCCCGTCGGGGCACACAGGGTGGCAGTTCGAGACAGTGAAAGGCGGGAGTGAGGGAGAGAGTGAGAGAGGAGGAGGTGAAGTGGTGATGGAGTAGGAGGAGGGGCTGGTCTCCCGTGGCCATGATTACCTTCACCTTCACCTCTTCCCCATGCCTGACAACCCCCGAGGCCTCACGTTTACACATTTCCCGTCCCTCTCCTCTCCCCCCTATCCCCCACCCCTCCCGTCCCCTCCCCATCCCCCTATGATTCTCGCATGAACCGTGGTGGCGGTGGCGGTGGCGGTGATGGGGTGGTCGCCCGTGACCATGATGACCTTCACAGCGGCGCGCCGGCACTGTGCCACGGCCTCGGGCACGCCCGGGCGCGGCGGGTCCATGAGGCTCACCATGCCCACGAACGTCAGCCCGCCCATGGGGAAGTTGGGCTGCGGCTTGTGCGTGAACTGCCACGAGAGGAGGAGAAAGGGGGGGGGTGAGACGAGAAAGGCGAAGGGGAAGCAGGGAAGGGAGGAAGAGGGAAGGCGGGGAGAGAGGGGGGGGGGAATGGACAGGAGGGGGTTAGGGTGAACGAGCGTGTGGAAGCAGAGCTAGGCAGCGCATGAGCAGCAGAGCAGAGCAAGAGAGCACTGAGAAACAAAGCACCGCACAGCAGCAGCTGCACTCACCGCAGCAGCAGCAGCCACAGCAGCAGCACACGCATCTCACCGCAAACTCGTTGGTGAAACCCTTCAAGGTCCCTGAAGGCCATGCCGAGCACGCGCTCCCCAAAGCCGCCCATCTGCTGGTACGCCTCCTGGAAGTGCTTGCGGCTGTCACTGGTGAGGTCGTACACCTGCCCGTTCACCAGGATGTATGCACACCGCTCCAGCACTGTCTCTGGTGCGCCCTTCATCACCAGCACCGGCGGTAACCGGTTCTGCGCTGACTGGCTGTGGCGTTGAATGGGTGAAGGGAGAGGAGGGGAGGAGAGGGGAGGGTATAAAGAATGGGGGCAGGAGTGGAAGGGGGTTTATAGTCAACTCAAACAGGGCACCGCTCCAACACCGTCTCTGCCGTCCCACCTCTTTTCCCGCCTACGGCTTTCCCGCTCTCGTCCCCAACCTCCTTCCCCCCCTCCCCCCCCACCTTCCCCCTCCCCCTCCCCCTCCCCCTCCCCCTCCCCCTCCCCCCCCAGCGCCATACACGTGGATGGAGAGCTGCCACGTGGAGGCGGAGGAGAAGTTGATCTCGAGCAGCTTGGCGTACAGGTCCCTCAGCTCCTTGGCGGGCCGCAGCGCCTCCACCAACTTGAGCAGCCCCTGCTCCGACGCGTCCCCTGCACACGGCGCCGCGTGCAGGTCGAACTCGCGTCGCCGCATCTCTATGCCCATCACCAGCCCCTCTTTGGGTGGGGTGGAGTGCGGAGCGGGGATGGGGAGAGGGAGTGAGGTTGGGGGTTGAGTGGATGGGAGGGTGTGAGTGCAGGAGGGAGAAGGTGCATGCGTGGATGAAATGGCACACACAAGCACAAGCACAAGCATAAACACAAGCAGAAGCACACACACTTCCGTGCACAGTTGCTGCAGAACAACAACAACGCAGTGCCGTACTGAGGCGTGTGAGAAGGGACCTGTGAGGAAGTCATGAGAACGCGGACCTGCACAACAACAACAAGTCATGCGAACGCGGACCTGTGAGGAAGACGGCGTTGCTGCAGAGCGAGATGATGAGCTGCAGCTTCTGAAACGTGGGTGACTGCGGCTCGTACGCTGTCGCTGCTGCTGGCCCTCGCATCACCTCCTCCCACTCCACCCGGTTGCGCACCACCGGACAATCAAACACCCGCAGGTCGTACCAGCATTGCTCTGCAGTAAGGCGAGGCGGGAGGGGGGAGAGGGAGAGGAAGGGAGTAAAGATACCAGAGGGGACGAGGGAAGGAGGGTGAAGTGTTCAGGACGGACGGATAGGAGGGGCAGGAGGAGGAGTGGGAAGATCACAGCAGAACCAGTTGAAACTTCCTCATTTACAAACGCGTACATATGCAATTCATAGGCACGTGCCAGTGCATGGGTGGGGAAGAGGTTGGAGAACGGGGTGAGGAAGCAAAGGAGGGAGGAAGGGAGAGAGAGGATAGAGAGGGAGGAATTGCAGAAAGAGGAAGCAGGGAAGCAGGACGAGGGGCGAAGGAGGAGTGAGGGGGGAGGGAGGAAGGGGCACGCACGGACGGTCATGCGGTTTTGAGTGAGGGTGGCGGTCTTATCAGAGGCAATGACGGTGCATGAGCCAAGGGTCTCCACGGCCTGCAGGTTCTTCACGAGCACACTGCGCACATGCATGCGCTTCGCTGCTAGCGCCAGGGACACCTGTGGCACACGGGTGGAGCAGCACGTACGGCAGAGGGGACACGACACGAGTGGGATGCCATTCAGATGCGTTATTCATGCATGATGCACTGGCGGTGCGAACACGCATTGATGCAATGTGAGGCGTATCATGACATCACGACCACAGCAAGCACATGGCCACCCGCCGCATTCCACCCCTCCCACTCGCACTGCCACTCCATCTCTCCCTCCCTCCCCTAATCCCTCCCTCCCCCCCACGCTCCTTCCCCTCCTTGCTCCCTCCTCCCTCCCCCCGCACCGTGACAGCAGCCATGACTCCTTGAGGCACATTGGCAACAATGGCGCCAATGCCCAACACCACGGTGTGCAGGAAGGGGTCGCCCACCAACAGCGCGATGGCGAAGAACACGAGCCCCATCACCACGGCCATCAGGCTGATCATGCCCACCAACTGCTTTAACTCCACTGCTAGCGGCGTGTCCCCCGGGGGCGTCAGCACCGACTGACCTGCCCCGTCACGGGGAGAGGGGAGAGGGGAGAAGGGAGAAGGGGGCGTGGGGAGGGGAGAGGCGAGAAAAAAGATGCAGAACTTAAGAGCACGTGGCAAGAAGTGGGACGCTAACTCATGCAATGAAACAGGGACAGAACCAAGGAGTTGTGGGATGGATTAGGTAGAAGGGTTAAGGGTGGTACTGACAGGTAGGTGACACTGAAAGAGGTTGCTCATGTCATTTGGAGATGTTCAGATGATTCACTCTCGGCTTGCTGCATGTGTGGCGCACACATGGAGAAACATGGGGATGGACGGGATACACGAAATGGGGTTGGATGGGGTTGGACGTATAAGGTTGGGGCAAGGAAAATGAACGATTAGGAGAGGGAGAGGGAGGGGAGACGTGGAAGGACTACAGATGGGGCAATGTACTGAGGTGAGGAGAGGGATGCCTGGGACGTTGATGCTGCGTCCCATCTGCCGCACTGCATGCACGTACACATGACAAGACAGCATTCCACGTTGCCTTTTCATCCGGCCTCGTCACAATCTTCCCTCTTATTTGTTCAGCACTCTCACTCTCGGTAGCGCCGCCCACCCGAACGCACCCTCAAGGCATAGCCAGTACCTGCACACGTTGCTGGCACGCCCCTGGCAAGCGGGCCGCGAGAGTACTCAGAAGGCACCCACATGCGTCGGGGCAGCACTCACATGCGCTGGAGCAGCACTCACATGCGCTGGAGCAGCATTCACATGCCCTGGAGCAGCACTCACATGTCACAACTTAGGCTTAGAAGCGATGCATTAGTAATGAGCTTGAAGCTCTTTAAGTACATCCAAGGGAAGGAATGGATCGGGAAGGGAATCGGAGGCAATCCCTAGGGATTGGGGGTAATCCCAAGGCAATCTCCAATTGGAGGGTTGGAGATTGCTTGGAGATTACATTTGGGTTTGGTTGAGATGTAGGTGTACACCCAACCAAACACAATGTGCAAACTACACTACTCTAGGATATAGAAAATACAAAGTACAAAGTGTGAGATTGAAGGCTAACACTAACATCACATGCGCTGGAGCAGCACTCACATGTGCTGGAGCAGCATTCACATGCGCTGGAGCAGCATTCACATGCGCTAAAGCAGCACTCACATGCGCTGGAGCAGCATTCACATGCGCTGGAGCAGCATTCACATGCGCTGGAGCAGCACTCACATGCGCTGGAGCAGCACTCACATGCGCTGGAGCAGCACTCACATGCGCTGGAGCAGCATTCACATGCGCTCGAGCAGCATTCACATGCGCTGGAGCAGCACTCACATGCCTCACGTACCAGGGAGACGACGTTGCCTGCGAGTGTCGCATGTGACGCCCTGCATAGTGGAGCAGTCGCTGCTGGCCGACCACGCCTGCCAGCCGCCCCCAAGCCGCCCCCACGCTGCCAGCACGTGCAAAACACCTTGACTGCCAGCGAAGGCAGGAGAGGGTTGGACGCAGGGGGTGCAGTCGCGGGCTCACGGAGGTCAGCGGGCATGGTGGAGTGTGGGGGGAGGGACGCCACGTGGGGAGGGGCATGGGGACACGCAGGGACCGGAAGAGGGTTGTGCGACAGATGAGTGAGGGTTGTTGAGAGAGGGGATGAGAAGAGGGAGTGGAGGGAAGAAAGGGAGGGAAAGGAGGGAAGGCGGGGTGATAACAAAGCTAGACAAACAAGAGCAAGTATATATATGTCACAGTACAAGTAAGGTCAAGAGGAGAGCAAGTGAGGCAAAACAGGTACAAGACCCAGCAGGGTGCAGAAGCGCTGATGGTCACAAGACGCGAGTGCCTTGGTGAACACATCAGCAGTGTTGGCCTCAGAGGCCACGTACGCAAGCCGCAACTATCCACGCTGCTGTAGCTCACGAGCAAGGAAGTAGCGGAGAGCAATGTGCTTCGTTCTGTGCTCCAGACGCTGCTCTGGACACAAGGCCAGCATGGCCTTGTTGTCTACGTACAGCACGAAAGGAGAACGAGGCGGCTCTCCAAGGTCAGTCAGCAGGTAGGTGAGCCAGCGAAGCTCCTGTGCAGCCATGGCCCCTGCGTAGATCTCAGCCTCACAACAGGAGCTGAGAACCGACGACGAGCGAGTAGCCCGCCACGAGACAGAGCCGGAACCAACGCTGAAGGTGTAACCCTGTGACGACCGCTGCGTAGCCTGGTCGTCAGCCCAAGAATCATCCGCGTGTCCTGTAAGGACCACTGGACTCCGCCCTCCAAGCACTAGCCCCATGCCCGACGTACTGCACAAGTAGCGCAACACCCTCTTCGCTGCAGCCATGTGCTCTGGTCGGTGTCTCCCAGGAGCAACAAAGCGTGCAAGAATGCTAAGAGGGTATGCGAGGTCAGGTCGTGTGCAGGTCATCAGGTACATGAGGCAGCCAACAAGCTCTGGAAACGGGCCACTCGACTCTACGGACTCATCCGAAGGCAGAGCTGAGAGTGAGTGGCGAGTAGGCAGAGGAGTGGCCTGAGGCGAGGAGTACGTGAAGCCGAAGCGCTGAAGGACCTGCTGCACCATGTGTGACTGAGTCAAGGTAATGGTGCGGCGTGCTCTGTCCCGAGTGATCTGCAAGCCAAGATAGCTGCGCAGTTCACCCAGGTCTGTGCACGTGTGTCTCTTCTGCAGCTCAGACTTCACGTAGGCGAGTCCAGCAGTGTCCGCTGTGGCAAAGACCAAGTCGTCGACGTACACGAGGATGTAGAACGGCGGCAGTGAAGTGTCGGTGCGCACAAACAGCGACGAGTCAGCAGTAGAGGGAGCAAACACAAGAGCCGCAAGCGTAGTCCTCAGTGTGTCATGCCACTCACGCGATGCCTGGCGGAGACCGTAGACTGGCCGTCGGAGGCTCCACTGGGTGCCAGGAGGGAAAGTCCTAGTGAAGCCAAGTGGACGGCGCAGCCAGATCTCCTCGTGCAGGCTACCCTGCAAGAACGCAGTGCTGAAGTCGAGAGAGTGAAGCTCGTAGTCGCGCTAAGCGGCTATGTGCAGCAGCACCCGAAGAGTGGTCATCTTCGGGGTGGGAGAGAAGATCTGAAAGTAGTCAACTCCCTGCCGCTGACTGAAGCCACGAGCCACGTACCGCGCCTTGAAGACAGGTGGAGAGCCCGGCGGCCGCTTCACCCTGAAGATCCACATGCCACTGGCGATGTTCGCCTCAGGAGGGGGAACCTCGTCAACGTAGGTGCCTGTGGACTTCCAGGAAGCCATCTCTGCATCCATAGCTGCCTGCCACAGAGAGGAGTAGGGACCCTCTACGGCCTCCGCGTAAGAGCGCGGAGTCGGGATGTCTAGTGCATCTGGGTCTCCCTAAGGAGCAAGCAGTACAGATGCGAGATGAGGCGAAGCAGCAGCCAGACACTGGAACTCCTTCTGCCTGTCCTCTAGGACGTCCGTTCCAAGAGCACACTCACCCCCGACGGACGGAGGACAGACAGACGCAGACTCAGCAATAAGACTGGGAGCGTAGTCTAGACGACAGCGAGCAGTAAAGTCGACGAGCTCAGCGACAACAGTAGACGCAGCAACGGACTCAAAAGAGGGGTCAGTGATGACAGTAGCAAGCAGACTCGTGACAGTAGGACTGGCAGCACGAAGGGAGTCCGACTAAGGGTCGGCAAGCGCAGGAAGAGAGGACTCAGGAGGAGAAGGCAAAGGGGCACGCAGAGGAGCAGTAGACGGACGCAAAGACATCTGGTGTGTGCCAGGGACAGGAGGAGGACGCTGACGCAAATTGCGACCACTAGCGCGAGCAGCACAAACAGGCGACGCGGGACGAGACGCAGGCTCACGATGCTCAGCCAGACCCTTAGTAGGACCAGTGTAAGGAGAGGGAGCAGGCAATGGGGAGGTAGGCTTCAGCAGTGACTGCGACTGGACAGGCTGTGGACACTCTACAGGAGGAGAAAGACCAAGAACCTGCTGTAGGAGCGGAACGAAGTTTGGCCGAGGCCGCGTAGCAACTCTAGACTCAGCAGGGACAGCACCAGCACCCTCAGCGGCAGCACCAGCGCCACCAACACCTCCAGTGGCAGGACCTCCAGCAGTGCCAGCAGCAGGACCACCGCCAGGACAGACAACAGTAGTCTCAGCACCAACACCCTCAGCCGCTCCAGCTCCAGTAGGACCTGCAGGCCCAGCAGCTCCGAGACCGGCGGCACCAGCACCCACGACCGTCGAGGAAGCTCCAGCTCCAGCAGTACGCCTCCAGTGGCGAGCGAACCACTCGCGCAGCTCCTGTGGAGAGAGGGGCTCCCGCCGAGACGGAGCACCAGGAGAGACCCCAGGCACAGTAGCTCCTGACGCAGCACCCCCAGGCTCATCAGCTCCAGACACCGCACCCCCAGGCTCAGCAGCTCTAGACACCGCACCCCCAGGCTCAGCAGCTCCACACTCAACACCCCCAGGCCCAGCAGCTCCAGACTCAGCACCCCCACACTCAGCAGCTCCAGGCACAGCACCCCCCGGCTCAGCACCCCCAGGCTCAGCACCCTCAGCAGTAGCACCCCCAGGCTCAGCACCCCCGCACAAAGCACCCCCAGAGTCAGCACCCCCAGGCTCAGCACCCGCAGCAGCACCAGAGTCACCAGTAACCTCGACCGGGTCAACTGTGTCTACCTGGGACACACCTGAGGGGGCAGGAACCTGAGGGGGGAGGGGGTCTACGGGGGGGGAACTGGCACAAGAAAGTCCGGCGGCGGGGGGAGGGAAGGAGTGCGGTAGGGGAAGAGGCGGTAGAAGGGGACTGACTCGTCAAACGTGACGTCCTGGGAGGACTGAACACGACGAGAGGAGGGGTGGTAGAGCTGCCACCCTGGAGCGTTAGGGGGGAAGCCAAGGAAGACACAGGGAGCAGCACGAGGGGACAGCTTGTCCGCAGACAAGTCGCGGACAAACGCCCGAGATCCCCATACACGGAATGCAGACGCATTGTTGACCTTCCCCGTCCACAGCAAGACTGGGAACATCGCGGGCCGAGAGACCCTGGGGTGAAGGTTGAGCTGATGCGCCGCGTACCGAACCGCAAACGGCCACAGAAAATGGGGGGCAGCCGCATGCATCATGGACGTACGAGCGACATCCATGACCATGCCAATGCGGCGCTCAGCAATCCCATTTTGCTGTGGAGAGTCCGGAAGCGTGAAGGTCTGGCGGATCCCCCGTGCACGACAGTAGTCTCGTAGAAGGCGAGAAGAGAACTCCCCGCCTCGGTCAGAGTGCAGACGTAGAACAGGAAAGTCCAAGCCGAAGCTCCTCCTGAGCTAGAGACGAGCCTCGCGGATCCAGTCGATCAGCACCTCCGTGACAGCACCCTTGATACGCAAGGGGAAGACTGTGGTGTAACGCGAGTAGTCGTCCACCACCAACAGGAAGTAGCGCTCGAGACCCTGCCCACGGACGGGGGCGGGTCCCCACACGTCCATGTGAAGTGTCTGCAGAGGAGCCTCTGTCGGGGGAAACTGGGAGGAGTGAGGAGCAGCCCGGAGGTGCCCCTCGACACAGGGGACACAGGAAGGTCCTGGTCCCGAAGGGAGGGGAGGGAGAGATTGGGGAAGACCAGAGACAAGGACACGAGAAGCCATGCCCCGAAGACGGGGCAAGGAGGGGTGGCTAAGACGGTGGTGCCACAGAAGGGTCTCGTGAGAGAGGAGGCGACACGAACAGGGGGCAGACTCAGGGCCAGACCGGGACGCAGCAGCAAACACCTGACCTGACGCAGCTACCTGACCAGACGCAGGGACAGGAGGAGACACAGTGGTCAGGGTGTAGAGGCTCGACCCCGGCCGACGCGAGAACGTGGCCAGGTGTCGGCCCGTGCGTGCGTCCGTGCAGTGGGTCACCCTCTGGCTCGCAGGAGTGAACTGGTGAACCCCCGCATCCTGTAGGTCCGCACCACTCACCAAGTTCGTCGAGAACGAGGGAAGGTACAGACCAGACAGGGTGTCCGAGGGGGCAGCCGGACAGGGGAGAACAGTGGAAAAGTGAGCGAGGGTTGAGCTCGTTTCGATGTTGTTTTTAGCACTATTTCTTCATGCATTCAGGTAGTAAAACCTATTCCCTTGCCATAGGAACAGGGTTGAGCTCGTTCGCACAACTACGCAGCACGTGACGCTTGTTTGTGCGCTTGTTGGCCCGAATCTGTGCAAGGATAGGCATGTGCGCAACATGTCACCGTTTCAGCGTTTGGATGTTGTTTTTAGCACTATTTTTTCACATATTCCGTTAGCAAATTCTTTTCTCTTGCCATATGAACTGGTTTGACCTCGTTTGCCCAACTAGGCAGCACGTGACACTTGTTTGTGCGTTTGCTGGTCTGAATCTGTGCAAGGGTAGGCCCGTGTGCAATATGTCTCCGTTTGAACGTTTGGATGTTGTTTTTAGCACTATTTCTTCACACATTTAGGCAGTGCATCCTATTTTCTTGCCATAGGAACTCGTTTGACCTCGTTCACCCAACTACGCAGCACGTGACGTTTGTTTGTGTGTTAGTAGGTCTGGATCTGTGCAAGGATAGGCCTGTGCGCAACATGTCACCGTTTCAACATTTGAACGTTGTTTTTAGCACTATTTCTTCACACATTCAGTTATTGCATCCAATTCGCTTGCCACGGGAACTCGTTTGACCTCATTCGCCCTACCACGCAGCACGTGACGTTTGTTTGTGTGTTTGCTGGTCTCGATTTGTGCAAGGATAGGCGTGTGCGCAACATGTCATTACGCCAACATCGGATGTCTTTCTTACCACTATTTCTTCAAACAGTTCGTTACTACATTCTATTCCCTGATTTCATCTCGTTAGCACAACTATGCAGCTCGTGGCGCATGTTATGCGTTTGCTGGCCTGAATCTGTGCAAGGATAGGCCTGTGCGCAACATGTCACTGCGCCAACGTCTGGATGCCTTTTTTACCACTATTTCTTCACACAGTTCTCTAATACATCATATTCCCTGACCATAGGAACTGATTTCATCTCGTTAGCACAACTACGCAGCTTGTGGCGCATGTTAGTGTGTTTGCTGGCATGAATCTGTGCGAGGATAGGCCTGTGCGCAACATGTCACTGCGCCAACATCTGGATACCTTTTTTACCAATATTTCTTTACACATTTCTCTACGGCATCCTATTAGCTAGCCATAGGAACTTATTTCATCTCGTTAGCACAACTATGCAGCTTGTGGCGCATGTTTGTGCGTTTGCTGGCCTGAATCTGTGCAAGGATAGGCGTGTGCGCAACATGTCACCGCGCCAACGTCTGAATGCCTTTTTTACCACTTTTTCTTCACACAGTTCCCTACTACATCCTATTACCTAGCCATAGGAACTGATTTCATCTCGTTAGCACAACCATGCAGCTCGTGGCGCATGTTTGTGCGTTTGCTGGCATGAATCTGTGCGAGGATAGGCCTGTGCGCAACATGTCATTGCGCCAACGTCTGGATGCCCTTTTTACCACTATTTTTTCACACAGTTCTCCAATACATCCTATTTTCTGACCATAGCAACTGATTTCATCTCGTTAGCACAACTATTCAGCTCGTGGCGCATGTTTGTGCGTTTGTAGGCCTGAATCTGTGCGAGGATAGGCGTGTGCGCAACATGTCACCGCGCCAACGTCTGGATGCCCTTTTTACCACTATTTCTTCACACGGTTCTCTAATAAATCATATTCCCTGACCATAGGAACTGTTTTCATCTCGTTAGCACAACTACGCAGCTCGTGGCGCATGTTTGTGCGTTTGTTGGCATGAATCTGTGCGAGGATAGGCCTGTGCGCAACATGTCACTACGCCAACGTCTGGATGCCTTTTTTACCACTATTTCTTCACACAGTTCTCCAAAACATCCTATTTTCTGACCATAGCAACTGATTTCATCTCGTTAGCACAACTATTCAGCTCGTGGCGCATGTTTGTGCGTTTCCAGGCCTGAATCTGTGCGAGGATAGGCGTGTGCGCAACATGTCACCGCGCCAACGTCTGAATGCCCTTCTTGCCACTATTTCTTCACACAGTTCTCTAATAAATCATATTCCTTGACCATAGGAACTGATTTCATCTCGTTAGCACAACTACGCAGCTCGTGGCGCATGTTAGTGCGTTTGCTGGCATGAATCTGTGCGAGGATAGGCCTGTGCGCAACATGTCACTGCGCCAACGTCTGGATGCCTTTTATACCACTATTTTTTCACAAAGTTCTCTACTACATCCTATTTCATGACCATAGGAACCGATTTCATCTCGTTAGCACAACTACGCAGCTTGTGGCGCATGTTTGTGCGCTTGCTGGCCTGAATCTGTGCAAGGATAGGCGTGTGCGCAACATGTCACCGCGCCAACGTCTGAATGCCTTTTTTACCACTATTTCTTCACAAAGTTCCCTACTACATCCTATTACCTAGCCATAGGAGCTGATTTCATCTCGTTAGGACAACTATGCAGCTCGTGGCGCATGTTTGTGCGTTTACTAGCATGAATCTGTGCGAGGATAGGCCTGTGCGCAACATGTCACTGCGCCAACGTCTGGATGCCCTTTTTACCACTATTTCTTCACACAGTTCTCTATTACATCCTATTTCCTGACCATAGGAACTGATTTCATCTCGTTAGCACAACTACGCAGCTTGTGGCGCATGTTTGTGCGTTTGCTGGCCTGAATCTGTGCAAGGATAGGCGTGTGCGCAACATGTCACGGCGCCAACGTCTGAATGCCTTTTTTACCACTATTTCTTCGCACAGTTCTCTACTGCATCCTATTACCTAGCCATAGGAACTGATTTCATCTCGTTAGCACAACTACGCAGCTCGTGGCGCATGTTAGTGTGCTTGCTGGCATGAATCTGTGCGAGGATAGGCCTGTGCGCAACATGTTACTGCGCCAATGTCTGGGTACCTTTTTTACCTCTATTTCTTCACACATTTCTCCACTACATCGTATTAGCTAGCCATAGGGACTGATTTCATCTCGTTAGCACAAATACGCAGCTTGTGGCACATGTTTGTGCGTTTTCTGGCTTGAATCTGTGCAAGGATAGGCCTGTGCGCAACATGTCACCGTTTGAACCGTTTGTGTCAGATTTATATGACATAGTTACTGTAGGCTATAGTGGGGTAGCACATATGGGGTACAGCTTTCTAGGGTTGTATTTGTACCCAACTTTCACTTAGTCATTCATTCCCTTCTAAAGTTTCCACGGTTTGGATGTCATATTTAGCACTTTTTCTTCACACATTCAGGTAGTACATCTTATTACCTTGCCACAGTAACTGGTTTGACTTCGTTTGCCCAACTACGGAGCACGTGACGCTTGTTTGTGCGTATGCTGGCCTGAATCTGTGTAGTAGGAGTAGTAGTAGTAACAGAAGGAGTAGTAGTAGTAGTAGTAGTAGTAGTAGTAGTAGTAGTAGTAGTAGTAGTAGTAGTAGTAGTAGTAGTAGTAGTAGTAGTAGTAGTAGTAGTAGTAGTTGTAACGCGGGACCTACTCTACCTAAACCTACCGCTAGCTTCCTAAGTCAACATCGAGAAATTGGTCGATGAGAAATGACTCGAGGAGCATAGGGAAGGTTGAGTTGGAGGGGAAGGTTGGTTGGGTTGTTCCAAACCTCAACCTTGAGGCTTGGAAACTCCCAACCCAACAAGTGTGAAGATTGAATGGTTGGATTTCCAACCAATCAGAATTTGCCAGATGTTGTTACAATCCACACAAACTTAAAACAACCATACAATTGTGCTAAGTTGGGTTTTTCCCAACCAAACTAAATTGCCACCTAGGCTCCAAGCCTATTAGCTCCCCAACCATGGAAGCCATGGTTGAGAAGAGCCCCAAGGGGTATTGTGGAAGGGGTTGAAGCTTTCAAGCTCATTCCCACTTCCCAACTCCAACTTACCAACTTGGAAATGGGATTTCTCTAAGTCATTTTGGTTCTCCTAACAAATTCTCCTACACAACTAAACTTGTGTTATTTTCAAGGATAAGCTCTACAAGAAGCTACCACGTTACTCAAGCTTCATCAATCTTCTTCAAGCTCTCCTTCTCCTCTCAAGCTTGAAGAGTGCCATCAAGGCTAGATTATCCCTTGGTGGGATTATTTAAACTTGGAAGCCTTGTATTGTGATCTTATAAATATTGTCAAGGGTGATTTATATTTAACACACGGTTGCCCATTGTTATAAGGGCCGTGGTTGTTACATTGGTATCTAGAGCTAGGGTTATCCTAAGCCTAGTGGGGATTTTGCCCTTAGAGATTTTTTTTTTTTTTTATAGATCTTAGAGTTGTGATTTCTCTTTAAAGAGAATACCCAAGATCTGGAATCTTGAAAAGTTCTAGATCTACAAGATCTACAACTGCAATTTCAAGTTAAGAAGAGAGATTTTTATCTCTCTTGCCCACCTTTTGGTGGAAGACTCTCTATTGTTGAGTAGTCGAGTATAAACTTGGATCTGGAGGATTTGTTGAGGGTTATACAAGTTCTCTTCATTGAGATTTGGATAGACCCTGCCCTTTCACTTGGTGATTGGGAATGCTTGACAACAAATCTGTTACCTTTGGTGACATTGGATTATTCTGTAGAAGAAATTTCTTATATAAGAATTTCTTGCTTTACCATTGAGTTGGTAAAAGGTTTTTAACAGAATCAACCCAGATCTTACAAGCTCCCTTAATCCTTATGGCATCTGGCCAAGAGAAGGATATGGCAAGGGAGGAAGGGCCCACTGCACCTAATGAGGTGGTGAACAATGCTGCTGACATTGACCTCAATCAAGATGAGGCAATGGATGACATTGAGCTGGATGATATTGAGGACTTGGACCTGGACATTGGAGATGAGCATCACCATGGTGAAGCTGAGAACCATGATGAAGCAGAGAACCATGGTGAAGCTGAGAACCATGGTGAAGCTGAGAACCATGGTGAAGCTGACAACCTTGGGGAAGAGGATAACACCGGTGGAAAGGAGGCCACTGGTGATGAAAATGACTTCACTGAGGGTGAAGGCATGACTTATCCTATTTCCGAGGAGATTGTCCAACTCCAGGCTAAGGTGGCAACTCAGAATATCACCATCCTGCAGCAGCAGACGTCCATTGATGGACTCAAGAAGCACACTCGGAACCTCGAGGCTAGGCTGAGCATTACCATGAAGGAGGTTACTGAGTTCCGTCGCAGCCTGGGCACTAAGAACCGTGAAATTGAGTGGCTTCAGAAGACTTGCAATAATCTGCAAGTATCATTCAACAAGCTCAATGAGCAGGTGACCAAACTTAGGAGGGAGGGTATCTACGAACCTCCTCCTGGGCGTAGGCCCGCTCCTGCTGCTCAGTCGGCACCCGCTCCGCCCGCACCCCTGGCGATAGGCGCTGCGACGGCTATGCATCAGCCACCTCCAACTGAGACCTCGCCCTTTGGGTCTCTCTCGGCGCCTCTGCCTGAGTTTCACCATCGCAAGACGGAGGTGCAGCCTTGGCTTGATCTAGTGAATGAAACCATGATCCTTGCGAATGTGCGTCCTGAGGCTCGCGTTACTGCAGCCACTCGTGCATTGGACGAGGTGGCCCGCAGGGCAGTGTAGGGCGCTAAGAAGCAGGCGCATGGACCATTTGGGTGGCCGGAGTTTTGCACCGCGCTGAAAGAGGCATTCATGGTCAAGAAGTCCGACCTGGAACTGCGCGGACGCCTTGAGCATATCAAGTGTCATGACCGTCCGGTGCAGGAATATGCGGTCGAGTTGGAGGCCGCAGCACGCTCGCTCCAGAAGCCCTTGTCTGAGGAGGAGATGATGCACCTCTTTATGAAAGGCCTCCCTGTCAACCTGCAAGAGGCACACATGATCGGCGGCATGACCAATTGGACGACTTACAAGGAGCTGAAGGAGCGGGTGATCAAAACTGACACCGTCATTCGCACATATATCCATGGTCCTGCAGAGGCGGACCAGCAGCCCCGTGCTGAGGGCTCCGGTGGTCGTGGGAACCGGCCCCAGATCGCCAATGGCGGAGGCGGTTCGAATAAGCAACCTTTCCAGCAGCGTGAGCACCAGCCTGGACCACAGGCCAAGAGGGCTAACGGGGGGGGAGGTCATGGCCCTAACAAGCCGGACTTCTCCAAGATGCGGTGTCGCGGCTGTGGATTTATGGGACACATCCAAAAGCAGTGCCGTAACAAGAACCCAATCAAGTACTCTGGGAAGCTGAAGCCAGGCGGCGAGGGACCTTCTGGAAAGAAGGATTTTCAGAAGCCCAACTAGGGTGTGGGTACCTAGTTGGAGGAGTAGATCGAGTGGATGAGGCATATGTGCTATGTGATGATGATCTTGTCAAACATTTATATGTTTGTGTGGTTCTAGGCTGTAGTGGGTCACACCATAAGGGGTACACCAGATTAGGGTTTGACACATATGTACTGTTGTTCCTGCTTGTCACTCATCATTCTCGTTTCTCATTCTGACATGGTATTACGAGCCTAGGTTTCACCTAGGACCGAAACGTTAGGGCCCACCGTTTCTGCTAGCCGCGCCCTCGTGCGCCGCCTTTTCCTGCGCCTCGAGCGCCTCGTTCTTAAGGCCCCCTACGGCCCTCTCGCGTCGCCCTTTAAGGCCCCTCACGGCCCCTCGCGTCGCCCTCTTACGGCCCCGATCGGCCCCACGCTAGCCTCTCACGGCCCCGTGTGGCCCCGCGCTAGCCTCTTACGGCCCCGATCGGCCCCACGCTAGCCTCTGACGGCCCCCTCAGGCCCCGCGCTAGCCCCCCCTACGGCCCCCGTCGGCCCCGCGCTAGCCCCTTACGGCCCCCAAACCGCCCCGCGCTAGCCTCTTACGGCCCCCGAACGGCCCCGCGCTAGCCCCGAATGGCCCCGTGCGGCCCCCGCGCTAGCCTCTCACGGCCCTCCTCAGGCCCCGCGCTAGCCCCCTAAGGCCCCTGACGGCCCCGCGCTAGCCTCCCACGGCCCCCGAACGGCCCCGCGCTAGCCCCGAACGGCCCCCGAACGGCCTCGCCCTCGCCCTTACGGCCCCGCGCTAGCCCCGACCTGCCCCCTCACGGCCCCTCCCGCGCTCGCCCCTCTACGGCCGAGCCGCGCTGCGCGACCCGACCCGAACCGCGCCGCCCTAGCCGAGCCGCGCCGCCCTAGCCGAGCCGCGCCGCCCTAGCCGAGCCGCGCCGTCCTAGCCGAGCCGCGCCCTCCTTACCTGACCAGAAGCACCAGTACTGAACTGCTACTGCTACTACTACTGCTACTGCTACTGCTGCTGCTACTACTGCTGCTGCTACTACTGCTACTGCCACTTCTGCTACTGCTACTTCAGCTATGGCTAGCCCTCCAGTTCTCTCGTTCGATACTGAGGGCCGCCCGATTAAGTTTGAGACCTGGCTCGATGATCTACATCTGTTCCTCCAGCTCACTGCCAGAGAGGATATCTCGCTGTACGATCACGCACTAGGCACAGTCCCTGCTCCTGCTACTACTGCTGCTGCTACTGCTCGCTCACAGTGGCAGACTCGCGATGCCCACGCCTGCTTTGCTATTCGCAACTCCCTGCCAGTAGACGAGCGCGAGCACTTTGGCCAGCATCAGACTGCGCACGCCCTGTACACTGCTGTAGTTGCGCGCTACTCCTCCCCGGCCTCAGCTGCACTAGGCCGCCTCTCGCTTCCCTACCTGTTCCCCGACCTGTCCGCCTTCCAGACAGTAGCTGACCTCATCACTCACCTCCGCACTAGTGATGCCCGCTTCCGTGCAGCCATGCCCGCTGAGTTTCTTGCCTCCAACCCTCCCCCGCTCTGGCTCACTCTCTACCACCTAGTCACCCGCCTCCCTGACACTCTGCGTACAGTCAGGGACCACTTCCTAGCTCGCTGCCCCACTGAGCTCACCATTGCCGCCCTAGAGAAGGAACTACTTGCAGCTGAGAAGAGTATTGTAGCTGTAGGTGCCTCTCGTGGCGACCCCCGCACCCCTTTCTTCGAGGGGTGTTCCCCCTCCCCCCTGCTCCCCTCTGTCGCCTCTGCTGGTGCTGTCGACCTCCTTGGTGCTGAGCAGGTCGGCTCTGCGTCCGCTCCCAGCGGGCGCCGCAGCGGCAAGGGCAGGGGAGGCAAGGGCGGTGGGGGTGACGGCGGGGGAGGCGGTGGTGGGGGTGGTGGCGGCGGTGGGGGCGGTGGCGGGGCTGGAAGGGCTAGTGGCAGCGGTTGGGGTGGTGGAGGCAGCGGCGGCGGCAGTGGCCGGGGTGGGGGCGGTGGTGGTGGCGGCAGTGGACGTGGCGGCGGCAGGGGCGGTGGTGGTCGTGGTGGAGGCGGCGGTGGTGGTCGTGGAGGCTCTGGCACTGGCCAGAGCGCGAAGCACCCTCAGTCCTCCCAGGAGCTTCGTGAGTGGTACTTACAGCACGGGGGTGGGGGGGGTAGCCTTAGCTGCACGTACGTCATCCGCACTGGTCGCCGCAAGGGACAGACGTGTGGGAGGGCGCACACTGCGCAGCGCTGCTTCTCTCGCCTAGATGACGCTTGGCGTGCTCAGTTTCTTGACGCTCCTGAGCTCCCTCAGTGGGCTGATCTCCTCAAGAAGGATATCGATATCTATGCTCTTGATTTTGATGTTATTCTCAAAGCAATGTATGCATTGACTATTAGTGGAGAGGAGGACCAGTACCTGAGTGTTCCTCCTGACCCACACTTTGTAGAAGTGAGGCAACCCTAGGCCCACTTGGCTTGGGGAAGCCTCAATTGTGGGAAGTGAGGTACCCACAAGTCAAGAGGGTTGCATTTGGGGGCTCCACCACAATTGGGTGGATTGGCACCCCAAAGTGCAAGACTACACCCAAAGTTGGGTGTAGTCCCAACCCAACTGTACACCACAATTGGTGTACAGTCACATGTGTTGGCATGCTACACAATGTATTTTAACACAACCCCTTAGCATGCTAACACAAGAAGAGAACAACCCCTGAATCAAGGGGCGCCCGGGCGAGTAAGGTCACTTTGATCCTTCTCTTCCACTCTCCCCTTCCAACCTTCTCTTCCAAACTATGTATGCTAGGTTGTGACTCTAATTCAATCACTTGTTCAATCCACAATCTTCACAGGGTTGACCTCACTTTGGGAAGTGAGGGAACCATTGGTCTAGTGGGTTGGGTTGCCCACACTTTGTAGAAGTGAGGCAACCCTAGGCCCACTTGGCTTGGGGAAGCCTCAATTGTGGGAAGTGAGGTACCCACAAGTTAAGAGGGTTGCATTTGGGGGCTCCACCACAATTGGGTGGATTGGCACCCCAAAGTGCAAGACTACACCCAAAGTTGGGTGTAGTCCCAACCCAACTGTACACCACAATTGGTGTACAGTCACATGTGTTGGCATGCTACACAATGTATTTTAACAAACCCAACCTATGGTCACTTTGATCCTCCTCTTCCACTCTCCCCTTCCAACCTTCTCTTCCAAACTATGTATGCTAGGTTGTGACTCTAATTCAATCACTTGTTCAATCCACAATCTTCACAGGGTTGACCTCACTTTGGGAAGTGAGGGAACCATTGGTCAAGTGGGTTGGGTTGCCCACACTTTGTAGAAGTGAGGCAACCCTAGGCCCACTTGGCTTGGGGAAGCCTCAATTGTGGGAAGTGAGGTACCCACAAGTCAAGAGGGTTGCATTTGGGGGCTCCACCACAATTGGGTGGATTGGCACCCCAAAGTGCAAGACTACACCCAAAGTTGGGTGTAGTCCCAACCCAACTGTACACCACAATTGGTGTACAGTCACATGTGTTGGCATGCTACACAATGTATTTTAACAAACCCAACCTATGGTCACTTTGATCCTCCTCTTCCACTCTCCCCTTCCAACCTTCTCTTCCAAACTATGTATGCTAGGTTGTGACTCTAATTCAATCACTTGTTCAATCCACAATCTTCACAGGGTTGACCTCACTTTGGGAAGTGAGGGAACCATTGGTCAAGTGGGTTGGGTTGCCCACACTTTGTAGAAGTGAGGCAACCCTAGGCCCACTTGGCTTGGGGAAGCCTCAATTGTGGAAAGTGAGGTACCCACAAGTCAAGAGGGTTGCATTTGGGGGCTCCACCACAATTGGGTGGATTGGCACCCCAAAGTGCAAGACTACACCCAAAGTTGGGTGTAGTCCCAACCCAACTGTACACCACAATTGGTGTACAGTCACATGTGTTGGCATGCTACACAATGTATTTTAACAAACCCAACCTATGGTCACTTTGATCCTTCTCTTCCACTCTCCCCTTCCAACCTTCTAATTCCCCCCTACCAGCCGAGGAAGGCGCGGCGGCGGTAGGGGGGGGGGCAGCGACGAGGCGTCGCGACGGCGGGATGCGCGGGCGGCGCCGAGGAAGGCGCGGCGGCGGTAGGGGGAGGCGGCGACGAGGCGTCGCGACGGTGGGATGCGCAGGCGGCGCCGAGGAAGGCGCGGCGGCGGTAGGGGGGGGGGGGGGGGGGGGGGCAGCGACGCGACTTCGTGGCAGTGGGAGGGGAAGGCGACGAAGGGGTGCCGTGGCGGAGGGATGCGCGGGCGACGCCGAAGTAGGCGCGGCAGCGGGAGGGAGACGGCGACGGGGGGTCGCGGCAGGGGGAGGAGGAGGCGTCGACGAGGCGTCGCGGCGGGATGCGCAGGCGGCGCGAGAGAAGGCGCGGCGGCGGAAGAAGGGGGGGAGGGGCGGTGATGCACTCGCGGCGGTGGGATCCGCAGGCGAGGAGGGCGCAATCACGGCGGAGAGAGGGAAGAGTGGCGACGGCGTAGGTCGTGCCACGGAGGTGCTAGGTTGAGCCACACGTAGGAGGTTTGTGGCTGTAGGGTGGGCCCATGGGAAAAAAAGAAGACTTGGAGGGAGAAAAAAAAAGGCTTAGGAACAACTAGCTCTATACCATGTGAAGATTGTGGATTGAACAAGTGATTAAATTAGAGTCACAACCTAGCATACATAGTTTGGAAGAGAAGGTTGGAAGGGGAGAGTGGAAGAGAAGGATCAAAGTGACCATAGGCTGGGTTTGTTAAAATACATTGTGTAGCATGCCAACACATGTGACTGTACACCAATTGTGGTGTACAGTTGGGTTGGGACTACACCCAACTTTGGGTGTAGTCTTGCACTTTGGGGTGCCAATCCACCCAATTGTGGTGGAGCCCCCAAATGCAACCCTCTTGACTTGTGGGTACCTCACTTCCCATAATTGAGGCTTCCCCAAGCCAAGTGGGCCTAGGGTTGCCTCACTTCTACAAAGTGTGGGCAACCC